AAAAAACCCGCAAGAGATGATTTCAAGGGATGTTGTGCTGATTCACTCCTAGCTTTGCAGATATTTCCACCTCATTTTTAAACCCCCAAGGGTTTAACTTGTAGCCAGCCCCCAAGCTGTCCTCTGACTTCAGATCTCTGCTTGAGGAATGGTCCTGTGAAGGTGTATAAACCAGTTGTCCATCCTGAGGGCACCATGGGGAAATGTGGATCACAGCACATGTCCCATCTTTCAGCTCTGAACCCTCCAGATCAGCCTGCCACACTGCGTTGCCTAGAGTATTTTTATAGTTTGCCCAGATTTCATAAATGTTGGCCTATAGAATTAATTCTGCAGTTACTAGATCTGGACCCCTGTAGGATGCTCCATTCATCTGCCATGTGTGAACTAATGCCTCCCAGGCTGAGAAGCTGCACATGATGGGGCGTGTAGAGCATTTGTCCTAAAACGGTAGAACAAACATAGCATGGGCTAAGAAAGCACTCCTAGAGGGAAAGGTACCACGAACTCTACCTTTATTTCTGTTTCAAGTCCATTCCACTCAAGAAGCTGGTGCACAAACTAGCAACCAGGTTATGGTTAAAAAATCTTTGCTTTCGAGTGTGGTGGCCAAGCTGTGAAGTGCTACCACGGGGCTGAGAGAGGTCAAGTCTCTGGACAAGAAGTCTGATGAACAGCCAAGAGAGGATGAGGACTAGGTTGATGGGTAACCCTTTGCTTTGGTATAGACCGCTTGCTTCTACATCTGTGTGCTTCTACTAGAACAGCAAAATCTCTTCCCTTAAAAGTTCCACTTGTACGATAACAGCCTTTTGATTTTTTCATATTAAAGTAATAACCTTTCATCCATTATCTGAGAGAAAACATGGAGAGAATGAATGCTGGAGAGTCATCTGTTTTAATCCCAGCTCTATCATTTTTTTAGCGGTGATTTTGGATAGAATATTTAAGCTCTCTGATCTCCAGTTTCTAACTGAAAAGTGTCTCTATTAATAGTGATGTGCTGGGAATGTTGTGTGGTGGAAGTGGATAACGTAGTCACGATACCTGGCTGAGCACAGGCCTGACGTGCGAGGACTGTGCCATCTTGGTGATTACTCACCGCTGTTCCTGTTAGTTAGCTGGAGAAAAGTAAGAGTGCCTGGAGTCAAGGAGGGTGGGGTGTACTATGTTGTGGTTGCAGTATTTTGATACTTTATTGTGATAAGCAGCTGTGCACACCTGGCCCCTCCTCCCTTGTTCTCCCTACTTCAACTCTGGACTGTTTTCATAAACTTCTCCAAGTTAAATTTCTCACTCAGAACAGCAATCAGTCCTCGTTTTCATCTCTTTTCCAAGCTGTGGTACATGTACATATGATTCCAAGGCCCCTCCTTGTGTCCCCCGTTTGGGGCTCACTTTTCTTGCCTCCATCTTCAGAGCTTGGCTTACATGTCTCCTTTACAGGGTCTACCCTGGCTGCCAACCTGAGGAAGAGGTGTTTCTTTAACTCATCACTGGCCAACTTACCTTGTTGTATCTCAGTTTATTATACTGAAATGGAATAATTTAGACTGGGCAAGACAGGAATGGATTTCTCATAGTTCCCAGACAGAGGACTGCATTCTCACAATAGATCACGATAGAAATGGCAAAAAGTGCTTTCTGCAATGATAGTCATGGAAACAATTAAAACTTCAATTTTCAAGACTGCAAACTGCCAATGTTTGTGTGGGTGTGTTTGAATGTGCTGTTCGGTAAGTGTGAGGTGTGGGTGTGTTTGAATGTGCTCTTCGGTAAGTGTGAGGGTTTGCTGATGATTCGAGGATTCATCCTCCCTTGTCTTCTCTGTCGTTTTCTCTAGAACGGCCACATCTGCTGCTCAGTGGATCCACAGTGCCTTCAGGAGCTGTGAAGTGAACTGCCTCATGGGAGATTTCTGTTTAAAGAATGTTCTTTCATTAAAAAGACCAAAAAAAAAAAAAAAAGTTAAAAGTTAAGTGATTTGTGGCCAGCTTAAACGCAGCGTTATTAATAGCTGGGCGAAAGTCAGTTATGACATTTGTGAAGCTTGAGGAAAGTGAAGAAAATTCACAAAAGGAAATTTTTGAGGAAACTAGACCACAATTCTGCCTCTACTGTACCTGACATCACCTTGGAGAAGAAGGAGTGTGGAACACAGGCCATGATATCCTGACCCCTGGATAAGAAGCCTGAGCCCATCAGACCTTTGAAAGCCTCTGGCTTCAGTGGCGCAGGAACTGTTCTTTTAGATCAGAAACGTCATGAATCAGTTAAGTTCCTCTCTGCAAAAGCAAAATATGAGGCAGTGAGTGAGTTATATTTTCAGAAGCAAAGCTCTCATGTGTTATGTACAGGTCACACTCTGAAATCTGAAACAAGCTATTGTAATGATTAAAATAATGCACAGGCATGGTTATGTATTATTTTCTAACAGGAACTGTCATCCCTATCTCCTTGTTTTACTGCACTTAATATTATTTGTTTGAATTTGTTCAGTATAAGCTCGTTCTTGTGCAAAATAAAATAAATATTTCTCTTACCTTATGCCACGTGAGTCTGTGTCTTCTTTGGTCTGTGCTGCTCTTCCATAGAGGGCTCAAAAGAGAAATTGCTCTCTAGTTCTGCTGACGAGAAACACCCACCATGTTATTTCCATACTGAAAGATGGTTTTCATTCAACTGTATGCTCAGGGACAAGAGAGATGCCTTCGATCCATCTCCAGCTATCATGTTCTGTAGACTGGGGGGTCTGTCATATAGAAAGCACTAATGGCTTCTCCTTCCTCTGGACTCTGGATTAGTTTCAATCACATTGTAGTTGGGGACATTAACAGCCTATGAGGACGAGGAGGTGAAGATTGAGTAATTACTCTACTGACTGCTAGGTCGTCTTCATGATGGGCTTTGTCACTCTACTGAAGGCTGCATCTCCCAGTATGCTGGCCTCTCTGTCCATCCACCCCCTTTAGGTTGTGGAAACCTGCTTGTTCCTTCTGTCTTAGAACTAGTAACTCTAGCTATTCTGTCCTTGAGCGAGACCTACTCCATTTCTTACTGGTTCCCTATTTCCGCTCACATCTTTGTAAACGGTCCCTTTGTTAAACTCTTTAATTAGCCACCGTACACGTTTCCTTTGTTAAATTCTTTAATCAGCCACCGTACACATCTGTTTCCTTTGTTAAATTCTTTAATCAGCCACCGTACACATCTGTTTCCTGCCAGAATTCTGACATGAAAAAGGGAGATGTGAAGGTTGAGAACGTCTTCAAGAATTGGCCCTTCAAAATTATTATTATTATTTTGGGGGGGGCGGCTTTTTGAGACGGGGTCTCACTGTAGCCCCAGCTGTCCTGGAACTCATTATGTAGACCAGGCTGGCCTTGAACTCATAGAGATCCGCCTGCCTCTGCCTCAAAATTATTATTATTATTATTTTGGGGGGGGCGGCTTTTTGAGACAGGGTCTCACTGTAGCCCCAGCTGTCCTGGAACTCCCTATGTAGACCAGGCTGGCCTTGAACTCACAGAGGTCCGCCTGCCTCTGCCTCCCAAGTGCTGGGGTTAAAGGCGTGCGCCACCACACCCAGCTTCAAATTTTGATAAATAAATCCCACTCTGAGCTAGGTGGGATCATTGTATCCCAGACTAACTTGGAACATCTAAATCTCAGGAGGATAAACATAAACAGACTGATGCCCAGTGAGCAAATTAGACCGCAGCTCTGTTCTTCCGGTTGCTACTAGAGTGAAAATGAAACTCAAGTACTTCCAACTTCCTTTCAGTTGCACAGAGGTGTGTTTCTTTAAAGAAAAGTGTAGAGACGCCGGGCATGACACATCGCAGTGGTGGTAAAGTCGCTATTGGCTGCCAGAAGAGCCAAGAAAATGTCTGTCTTGGTACTACAGCAGGAGCACTATTTACTGCACGTGTAGATTTAAGTATCTTTATATTCAGAGTTTATCATAAATGTTTTTGTCTTACAGCCTTCTTATAGTTAATCTAAAATGTCATTGAAAAATAAGGTTTATTTATTTTCTCTGTTCTGCTACTGTGGTAGACAGCAAGTTAGCATCTAAGAGGGCAGCTACTAACTAGAAGTTTTACATAATTTTTCCTTACATGCTAAAATCTCATAAAACTATATGAAACCATATATTTTACTTGCTTTTATGAGAGTAAAAAATTTGTACACACACACATCTACAGCCATATGAACATGAATTCATTATTTAGACTAATTTAGATTGCCTTTCTGGAAGAAGGAGCAAGACTAGAATCCCATATTCCAAGTCTTTTTTAAGTCTTTTCGGCCTCTAAGCATACTAGTGGCTGACAGCCTTCCATAGACCACTGGATGAAAGAGGACTCGATCCTGTGAGGCCCATTAAACCACTGAGTCCATTCACACTGATCACTCCCCTCAGTACCTAGACATAGTAGATCCCTGGGAGATTCTTATTTTATCTGCAGATCCCTGAAATCAATAATTAACTGTTCCTAAGAGCATCGTCCACTTAAAAAGAGATTTTAATGCCTTAGTTCTCACGTTGTGATAATGGAGAAGACGCCATGGTTGAGCTATGCCAACATAATGGGAATGTGAGAACTAAAAAGCCTGTGTTTAATTCAAAGGTACCTGGCTCTTCTAACAGCAAGGCTTGATGGTGGTAGTCCTTACTACTATACATTTCATTTAGTTCCCTTCCCCTGGGATTAAAAAAAGGTACAAAACATTTAAATATGGTATTTTGGCAAGCAGTATATAGTGAACTGTATCATTGCCCTCCTATTTTAGTTCCCTTCTGCTTTGCTTTCTATACTGTTAAAGAGAGCCTTGGTTCTATTCACTTATACTCCAGAAGACTCCTTTCATTGTCCCAATAACTTGGCTATCTGTTGAGACACCTTGTAATTGCCTTTGCAAAACGAACAGTGCTTCAACACTCTAAAACGCAGTCAATACTCTTGATTGTTGGAGTACAGAAATTATTCAGTTGAACAGAGCTTAAGTTACAAGTACTGAATAAAAGATGAGCTTCAATTCACTAAACCTTATCTCATCTATCCAAACTCCATGTTGCTGACTACCTAAGAGTTCCTCTGAAGGTCAGCAGATCACACAGACATGGGTGTTCCCAGCCCCACTGACCTAACGCTTAAGCATTGGAAACACCTATTGCTTTTTTTATTTCTACAAGTACAGAGTGTTGATTGTACAGCCATAAATTTCATCTCCAAGAGCTGTGTGCTGAAAGGATCCTTGAAGGCGGTCAGGATGTGTTCTTGCGTCTCTGGCCACTGCAGCACCCGCTCTTGGTGCCTTGTGTCCATGCTGACCTTTTAGTATTGATGCACTGTTTTCCACCTGAGAATTCAATATCTTCTGTAAAGGAATCGCCACCCCCTTGCAGAGTAATCACCCTTAAATAATAGGCCTGCAGGAAGAAAGACAAGAGTGACTTGGGCTTCAGGTCTGTGGTACCAAAAACTGGCAAAGTTTGGCACCGTTGCAGGAATTTGGACCAGCATGATCTGAGCTGCAGTTCCCTGCGTTCCTTCTATGCACCAGGAGGCCTTGACACTTCCAACCTTTTTGTTTTTCAAAATGATTAATCAATTTTCAGAGAGATTGTTTTCATGACAGATCCTGAAACATTCCTTTATTCTGAATGACAGATGGCAAAACATGATTCTTAACTGCAGAATACTGTGCTTAAAACACGCTGACTTATCTAAATAGAACACCTACATATCAGGTGCTTTTAAAAACAGTCTGAAACAAGGGTATGATTACATGCAAAGTATAAACTGCTGAATTTATTTTTGACTAATTTTCTATCTCTTTAATAAAACCATAGTAATAACTATAGGGAAAAATGAAAAATAAAAATATGTAGTTTATAAGTCGGGCATGGTGGTGCACGCCTGTAGTCCCAGCACTTGAGAGGCAGAGGCAGGCAGATCTCTGTGAGTTCAAGGCCAGCCTGGTCTACATAGTGAGTTCCAGGACAGCTGGGGCTGCAGGGAGACCCTGCTTCAAAAAGACCAAAAAAAAAAGTAATTATTTAAAAACAAGGACTCTTGGTGATATCTGTAAGATAATACATGATCCCATGTAGAAAAATAGAAATCCACACTCAACAAATCTCGTAAGCACCTACTGTACACTAGACACTGCTGTAGACGCTGTGAAGGGCTATGCAGTGTGCCAGTGTCACTGCAGGAGTCACCACAAAGAGGGAACATCCAGGCACTACAGTGAGGTGGGGGTGGAGGATTCTATGCATAGGGACCTGTGTGTGCAGGACTGAGACTGGGCCGTAGCTTTCATGCGTTTTGTGGAATGAACAAGCTGAACACTTGCAGGTAGGAGACAGTGAGAGGAGTGAATGACACACAGGCCAGGCTCTGCCGGACTATTTTTAGGAGGTTGCGCTTTCCTTCCTAGTGACCTGCGAGACATTAGAGTTCTGACTGCAGTTCCGCAGTATTCTGACAGAGCGTCATAGCTGCTGTATGAACGGCGGGAGTGGGAGGAGGTAAAGGGGGCAGAAAGCAGGAAGTGCCTTCACGTTACGGAATGTCAGACAAGATGTTAGTGGTTTGGACTAAGGTGATAACAGAGTAAGAGAATGGAGATTTAACATTAAAGAAGAGCCAGTTAAATGAAGAGATGGGGAAGAAGTCTTAAATATCACAAAATGCCACTCCCAGAGTAGTTAAAGTAGTAATAAAGGGACAGTTCTTCTAAAGGTCACTATTACAGAAAAACAAATGACCAAGAAGAGCCAGCACTAATTTGAAAACAAATTGTATTTAGGGACAGTGGAGACTTGCTCTACTCTATATCAGCAAAGTATAAAGTTACAAGAATTAAGAGTCATTGTTGAAGATTGCAGATGTGACAGATTTTATATATGTTACAAATCCAATCATATATTTATAAAACAAATAAATGATTTTGTACAGACATACAACCAAAGAATATATTCAAATGGCAAATAGCCACATAAAAGATGTGTGTGTGTGTGTGTGTGTGTGTGTGTGTGAGTGCATATACCTACGTTTTTATATATTTATAGTGGCAAAGCCTCTAAAACCACCCCATGAAACATAATTAACAGGTAACCGACACTGACTAGGATGTGAAGACTGGTTATGGGAAAACAGAACTATAAAATTTTACGCTTATTTCACATAAATAAATTCCATGGAAGTGAAAACCCTTATTCTGGTTTGAACCTGAAATGTCTTCCACAGGCTTGACTGTTCAAATGATGGGGTGGTGCTGCTTTGAGAAGCTGTGAATCCTTTAGGAGGTAAGCCTAGCTAGCAGAGGTGGGTCACTGCGGGGGGGCGGGGGTGCTCTGAGCTCAGCCCTGCTTCCGGTCTCCTCCCTGCATCTGGGCCGGCAGCAGTGCTGGTGCACACAATCCCAGCGCTTCGAGTAGAGCTGCACCATCTGGCCAGCCTTCCCCACCACAATAGATTACAACCTCTGAAACACAGAGTCCAAACAGACCTCTCCTCCTGTAGGCTGTTTCTG